TTCTGTCGCATAAACGTAGTATTTTAGGTGTTTACAGTTTCAAACACCAATTTGATATGTGATTTTAGTTGAGTATGCAAATAAGTTCAACTGTTTCCGAGTAAAAAAGCTTTATTTTTTCACACTGTATTTTATATAAAAACCAAAAAATATTAATGAAAACTGTCAACGATCTCAATTAAAAATTCAAACTACCATTTTAATTTAAGAATTAGAAGTTTTATTGAAGATTGATACTTTGATACTTAAAATTTTTTTTCATGATACTTTTGCTCCATTTTAGGAATTTTGGTGATACATTTCTTCTGAACGCGCGGCATCACTGCTTCTGGTACACAAATGTCAACGGCCAACACGGCGCAATCTTGTATTCTATGCGCCCTGCCACATGGTCAGTAATTATCACGATATTTGGATCGCGATCCATATTGATGGATTGATGGAATGCTTGAATGAAGAATTAAAATTTATTCGTTATTTGAAATTACTTGAATGATGAATAAAAATGTATTCGTCATTCGCGAGTGCTTGAATGAAGAATAAAAATTTGTTTGTCATTAAAAATTGTTGAAACAATGAATGAAAACTTATTTTTATTGTGTTTTTATTCAATTATTCATTTTCCTGATTACGCCCACGAACCAGCGAAGATATTAAATATTTAAGGGAAAACGTTGTGAACAAAACTAGGCGTTTGATTATAATTAATATATATAATATACATTCGACCGCATCCTCGAATTTCGTCCTTCTAACCTTATAAGCTTAAAAAAAAATAAAATTAATTAAAAGGGCATTTTCAATACCCATTCATCCTCGTAAACCATTTTTTTTTTATCCATAAAGTTTTCTCTTTCATTTGGTGCCCATATTGTTATTCCACATTGCACTGAATTTTGTAAAAAATTTTTTGAAGTAATCATACCTTTGAAATTACAAGGTCCTTAAAAAAAACCTGACGTAAGATAGAAATACTACAAACGCAGTTTTACTATACTTTCGAAAGTATATTGATTGCTGCATTAGGTTTGCTACAAAATATCTGGCAACACAATTTCATTGATATTCACACGGTTGCATGGGACAGTTACGTAATGTTTCAAACCCGTAATAACAAAATGAGATTGGAATTACAAGTTGTAATTTATAAATACAATTTTATCCTCAATAGGAATGTTCCAATCAAAGTCGTTTGTATATTGAATTCCCCCAAATCTAAAGCCATTCCCCAGCGAAATTTAAATTCCACCGAAATCGGCGAATTCTCCCATGATTGGCATCACTGACCCACACACGAAATAACGGAAATTTTTTTCTTAGAGCCATACCTAAATAAGCGCGTCAAGCGTTAAGCCTGTCGGCCTCTCTTCTTCTAGCGTATATAAATTTAATGCGTCAGAGAGAGATAAAGATACAAGCGAAACGCTCAACGCGCTAATTTAGGTACGGCTGTTAACCGTTTTCTTGAGAGCTGCATACTGGCCTTAAGGTTGGTTGGAACAGCTGTTTTATATGGCGCCAAACACATGAAAAGCTTGTTGTGGAGTTGTACTGCAGAGTTGCTAGCAAGTTACGGGACATGAACAAACTTATAAGGTGCAATCCCGTATTCCTCGGACTAAAACTAGTAAAACTGTCAAAAAATAAAAATTCGCTCAGAGCGAGAGAGTAACATTGAAAAGCACGGGATCGCTTTCTAGTAAAAAAGGGTAACTTCTGTCAACTTCAACATTACCTCCAAATTTTGGTTGTAAATTTTTGCTTATTTTGTATGTAAACACACTCAGCTCACATATGTAAATAACCAAAAATACTTTCAAATTCATTAGAATCCACTTAAACAAGTAAATACTTTTCGACATGAATTAGCAGAGTGCACTTTTCTTTTGTTTACAATTTGGTTGCCAAACACACTACAACTGATCGTTTGACACATTTACTAGAATTTACCAGCACAAAATTCTCGGACTAAAACTGGTAACTTCTGACAGAGAGAGAACCGTATTTACTCTCTTTTTTGTCCTCTCAATAGTCAGAGAACCGAGTACGGGATCGATTTCCAGTAAAATCTGACTGATTCTGACTATTTCTGACTAGTCCGGACTCGTACGGGATTGCAACTATAATTGAATCATGCTCTGATCTAAAATAAATGGAACTGATTTACCACCGGTTTTATTTAAATACAAATAAAAGAAACCATTTTCATTTAAAAAGGCCTCGTGAAACTGGTTTAAAAAACCGGTTATCCGAACACTGCTGCTTACTGTCAGATTTTGGAATAAATTTTAAAATCCACAAACATAACGGCACTTCTTCCCGTGTCGAATGCCTATTGAAGTTATTCGGTTTATAGCCATCTAAACCACGATCCAGAAAATAAAGGTCGCGCCATTCGCGGACCGCTAACCCTCTCTTCGTCGATTTGACAGCATTCAGCAGAAGAAATCGACCGTTGTGCAAGAAACATTGATTTCTATTAATTTGAATCGGCATCCTTACAATAAAATTATGTATTCATATAAAGTCCATAAAATACACCAATAAAAATTTGGTGCTTTTTCAAATTCAAAACATGGCAATACTGCCGTTTGTTCGATGCTTCTTCTTTTTCTGTCGAGTTCGTCTTGCTGTCTCATTCTTGTATATTTTGACTAGGGATGGGTAGTGGGGGGTTGAAATTCGATTTTTTCCGAATTTCGAACATTGCCCAACCATTCGATTATTCGATTCGAAATTCGGTGGTGCAAATTCGATTTTATTCGAATTTTGCAAAATTTGTTTGAAATGAAACTTCTTAATCGAATTCGGTCATGTTTGCGTTAAATATTTAACACCAAGTCATAAAATCTGTATCGTTCAAACTAAAAAAGTTGGAGTCGAATTAAAGGCTTGTCCTTTGGGTCTGCAACATAGTTTAGTTCTGTTAGTTTTAGGCTAGAAAATTAAATTCAAATAATCGCTTCCGCGGATGTTTGCGTTAAATATTTGACACCAAGTCATAAAATCTGTATCGTTCGTTCGATTTTCAAAAACGGGGTAGGTGTCAAATGAAAGGGCTTGCCCTGTAGATGTGTAACATGGTTTTAGTTTTGTGCCATATGGAAGAAAATCAGAATCAAATTATTTAATAAGTTAAATAAATTACTCCAATATGGGTATCAATCGAAATGGTTTTGTACAAACTTTATTTTTTAATTACATTTGGGAGGGTTGCTACCTGTTTGCAAAGTCGAATTTAGTTAAACAAGTGCTGTGCTTAAACTACTATGCAACAATTAATATTTTTGAGGTGTTGAAGAGAGTGGCCACCTGTTTAAAAAGTTAAATTCAAATTACACTGTGCGACAGCCGAAACCAGCCCGGACTTTGTTAACATTTTCTGAATGTATACCCATCCAGTATCAAAACGCTCGATATTAAAATTTCCAGGGAAATATTTTCGTAGAACATTTTATCCCATTAGCTCCCGCCTATAAGGGTAATTTTTGACCCTTACTTCAAGAAATCGCACAAAAAGCAAATTTGGCAGATCGTCAGTGGATTCATATATTCTAAAAAATTATTCTCCGGAAAATTTCATTAGGGGTCTTCTCAGGCAAAAGGCACCAACGTAAAAGCCTCTAAAAATTTAAAATAAAAAAAAACCAAAAAACTAGTTTTTTTACAAAATTTAGTTTGGAATAACAGTTTCTTCTTGGCACATATTTTTTGTTTCGATGCATCAGAGCGAAAAACATGTATTTTTTTTACTTGAATCCCTAAGACAAATTGAGTGCCACACGCAGTGATGGCAAATTTAGTCAGAAGAAGAAAGTTGAAGAGTTGATTTTTTGGATATAAAGATGAAATTCGATTTTTTCTGGAAAAAATCGATTTTATCCGAATTTTGGGCATAAATGCAGTTGGGCTCCAAATCTCAAATTTAAAAAAATATTGGAATCGATAGAGATGATTGAGCTGAGTATAACGGTATACTTCTTTTTTTGGGCAAACAACAACAACAAGAATTATCAAAGGTTAAAGTTCAAAATTAGCAATTTTTGAAATCAAGATTTCTCAAAAACGAATGAATGGATTTTGAAAATTTTGATCTCATTTAATAGCAAATTTGATTCCCTTTAATTTGCTTTACGTACTTTATATATATGTTGTATAGTTCTTACAAAAATTGAATTAATGTAAAATAATTATAAACAAAAAAGCTTACAAACCCTAAGTGCGGCCGACGTCGCCTACGCAGAAAGGTGTTCTCTGCAAAAGGTGTTCAGTGCATTTTCTTCACAACACAGAAAGATAATTCTACGTTGTGAGGGTTATAATCCCTAAGTGCGGCCGCAGGCCGCCTACGCAGAAAGGTGTTCTCTGCAAAAGGTGTTCAGTGACTTTTCTTCGCAACACAGAAAGAGAATTCTACGTTGTGAGGGTTATAATCCCTAAGTGCGGCCGCAGGCCGCCTACGCAGAAAGGTGTTCTCTGCAAAAGGTGTTCAGTGCCTTTTCTTCGGAACACAGAAAGAGAATGCTACGTTGTGAGGGTTATAATCCCTAAGTGCGGCCGAAGGCCGCCTACGCAAAAAGGTGTTCTCTGCAAAAGGTGTTTTTTTATAATTATTTTACATTAATTCAATTTTTGTAAGAACTATACAACACATATATAAATTACGTATACCAAATTAAAGGGAATCAAATTTCCTATTAAATGAGATCAAACATCCATCCATCCGTTTTTAAGAAATCTTGATTTCAAAAATTGTTTATTTTGAACTTTAACCTTTGAAAATTTTTGTTGTTGTTGTTTGCCCAAAAAAAGAAGTATACCGTTATACTCAGCTCAATCATCTCTATCGATTCCAATATTTTTTTTTTTTTGAGATTTGGAGCCCAACTGCAGTTGTTCCCGAATTTTAGCAACACAAAGTTCGATTTAAAAAATTCGCCGGTTTGGAGCTAAAATTCGAATATCGAAGCTTCGAATTTCGAATTTACACATCCCTAATTTTGACGTCACGGCTAGTTGCTCTCAGCTCGATTGGCGCAATCTTGTATTTTATCATTCTTGATTTTTGCATCTAAACGAAAAACAAAAGAAAGTTAATTCATTAGAGAAGTTAAATACATACATATGCAGGTAAACTAAATGGAGGATGAAGCAGGTGAAGATATCGTCACGTGTCCATACGATATGGCACATCGTGTTCTCAGGAAGCGGTTGCAGTTACATTTAATAAAATGCCGCTTAAATTATCCGAATGTAGAATTACGAAAGTGTCCCATGAACCAGCTACATTTGGTGCCGGATCCCGAATATCAAGTATTGGGATATTGAATATACTTTCGGTATTTGCATTTAATAAGACATTTTGGGTTTCAGGTTCATTTGGCTACTTGTCCGGATCGTAAAATAATTGTTCAATATAGTTATGAAAGCTGCAATGAAAATGTGCAGCACCCGATTCGTTTGCAACACGACCCAATCGAAAGCGAGGAAAATTGGGACAACACTGATGTGGAAAACTATAAACCAGAATTGTACGCGCGCACATCTCAGGTTATACGACAACCAGTAGGTTCACAACGCTCAAAACGCAAAGTGTTTAAAGATGAGGAAGAGAAACGTTTTCAACAATTTGATTAAAGAACGATGTTTTCACTTGCATGTGTTTTAATACTAAATTATTATTTATGTAATCTGCGTGTCAGTCAGTTCGGTTCAAAGGGTTAATTTTTTAAATACTAATTGGTACAAATATCGCGAAAATTTGACAAATCTATATATATAGCGTTTTCAGTTTAAATGAAACCATTTTCAAATTAAGCGAAACCTTTTTCAAATTAAATGAAACCTTTTTCATGTTAAGCGAAACCTTTTTCAAATTAAATGAAACCTTTTTCAGATTCAGTGAAACTTTATTCAAATTAAATGAGACCTTTTTCAGATTCAATGAAACTTTATTCCCATTAAATGAAACTTTTTTCAAATTAAGTGAAACTTTATTCAAATGAATTGAAACTTCTTTTTTGGATTACTGTGAATTAGCTGTTCGTGTTGCTCTCCCTTATAGGCTGTTTTTGCTTACGCGTAAAAGCACATTTAGCGCATTTAGCTCTAAATGCTACTCTAAATGTACATTTATCCATACAAAATTCGTCACCTAAATGCAACTAAATGCAACTCCATTTTTGCATTAAGAATCTAAATGCTAAAAGCAACCCTGTGATCTTCCAAAATTTCCACGATTCGAACATGGTTTAAAGAGAAAAAGTGGCAACATTGCTTTTTCGAGTATACAGTTGCTAGCTGCGTTTCAGTGATCGCCGATCGAGATTTCTTTTATTTTGCATTACATATTTGGATAAAGAAAAGTTAAGCAAATTCAACATCGATTTGATGCTGATAGAAATCTGGATCAACTTGTAATCAATTCTGTTTGGTTTGTTTCCTAATTAAGTGAGGAAATTTTAATTGACAGCACCGACAAATGAATATATACACAAACAAATGTTCGGTTATGGTTAAAACAATACAATTTTTTGTATTGAATTTTTGGTTTAAAATTTATTTTTTCCTTTTCAGTAGGGTTTTTGCACATTATCTTCTGCGTGCGAATTGATCATAATATATACGCATCTAAATAAGAGACTGGAACACGGCTGTTTGTCAAAAGCATACGATTTCGAACTCGCGTAAATGTACATTTGCTAAATGCTATAGCATGAACGCTCTTCGAAAACATATGTTCGAAAGTGCTAAATGTTGCATTTTAAATGCAGCAAAAACGCTGCATTACGGTCAAGGCATGTTTAATACAGTGTTGCCGTTTCGGTCCAATTGGACCAAAATAGGTAGTTTCATTTCTTAAAATAAGGCTTTGGTAGCTTGGTTGGTTTGCTGTGATTTTCGAGGGATTTTGGTGACTAGGAAAATAATATAATTTATTCATTTTATAAAACTTCAAATATCTCTGTTGTCGGGAGTACATGTAAAGGATGATGTGAAAACGAAAAGAGAAATGGGACAAGTCAAATTTATTCTTGAACCGAAGTTGAATGTTGCCGTGCTTAGACTGTGTTCTAATCCATAGAGTTTGTTTAAGTTAAAAGAAAATAATTAGACAATTGTTATGCAAATGCCAAATTTTATATTTCGCTTAAGCAAGTGAGTGAGAAGGGAGAGTATTTGTATTTTATTTCCCTCTTCTCCCGTGTAGCAACAGTAAAAATATTCTCCCAGTTAAACATCATAATCGGCGTTATCGACTCCCTGATATATGTAAGTATGGCGTCGATAACGTCGATTACGATGTGTAACTGGGAGTTAGGCTGAAATTAGTCAAGAACGTAAACCTACCGGTACGTAAACCCGAGTCAGCTGACACGATCTGTCTTACCCAAGCGCCACGTAAATTAAAACTCAACACCGCAGAATTTTTCTGTAGTTGTAGCCCGTAGCGCAGAAATCTGCGGAATTTAGATTTTTCCGTGTCAGCTGATTTCTCCTTCTTTAGATGGTTGCCACTTCGTCAGTTTTACAGATGGTAAAAAAGATATAAGTTCTTATTCAAATTATGTTTAAAATATTTGAAATTTACTATTGAATAAGGTTTTTGTTGAA